TCATCAACCGCATCATCAGAACATCAACAGGCCGATGTGAATGTCTCCTTCATGTATGGCAAATTGAAGACAAGACATTCTCGTGCAATTGTAAGTCTAAGCATTTCTTATCGCGCGCTACGATGTCTAAACGGTCAGCACATGACGGACGGCACGTAGCTGACAAAGTTAATAGAAGTCCCGTCTGGTTGGCAAGAATGCCGAGACACGTTGCCTTATCTGACGCTAGAATGTCACAGCGGTTTATGCCGATGGACTCACAATTTTGCCTTGCGAGCTGATGGAAGCTCCCGAGTGTGATGAATTCAGATTTGTTCCAAATCAACTTCAGCTGTTTATGTCGGCAATGCACGATATCAGGTGTAGGATGTGAGAGACGCACAACTTAGCATTTGAGTGAAGGTAGAGCTGTATATCATCGGCATATGAACGCACGCCGATATGATGATGGGCGATGACGACGCCGGTGTGGAGGAGGAACAGCACCGGACCAAGTGGCACACGACAATTCACCGGTGACATTTCTGACTGGCTACCACCAAAGCTGACTGTATCCAACCTGTAATGAAGGATGCAATCCATAAGAGTACAGTACCATAAATGCCATAAGTGCTCTGAAGGTGATCGACTAAGATGCTATGATCAACCGTATCAAACAGCAGACGGGTCCAGTAGGCAGAGCAGCGTAACTTGTGGGCATGCAAACCACTGTGGTATGTGTTCCTTCAGCAGAGGAGGAACAGCAAAACTACAGAAACTCTCCTGAAGCTCCCCTTTTGGCTATCAGACATCGACATTGGCATTTAGCTTCTTAACATATTGTAATGCGAGCGTAAACGGGCTCGCTGGATGTGACGTAACAGGTGGGAGGAGTTAGGGTCACGTGGGGAGAGAGAGCTTTTAAGGACAGGAACCGGAAGGGCTCCAGGAGAGAGAGTAGAGAGAGGAGGAGGCCACGCGGGGCAGGAGAAGTAAAGTGGCGCGATCGCCACAGGTCGGGGACTCGGCACCATCGGCCATCGGTGTCCGGGCACAGAGGCGACAGAGAGCCAGCAGTGGGGCTGCAGATCGGGCAGCAGTGAGGCTGCGTAACGGGCAGCAGTGGGGCTGCATGGTGGGGCAGCAACGGGGCTGCAGGAGCTCGGCAGCAGTGGGCTGCCGAGCGGGAGACGGAGGAGACACTGAGCGAGACGCCGTGCGGTCAAGTTGTACGAACCAAATAAAGGACAACGGAGACAGACCCAGTGCAAGAGTCCTTTATTACAATATTGCCATATGCAGGAATACAAAAACAAACACCTTCAATCGTGCCGTTCGTTGTTGGGCACTGGTTGCTTGACATGTTGGGCCTCAACTGGGCAACATCTCAAAACGTTCTTCCCGGTGTGCTGTACTAGTAACACATTTACATGTTTTGTTTACGTGACAAACCTTACTAATTGGCTGTGTCGGGTGGTGGCAGGTTTAATGACATTTATGTTGATGCGATCTAACCCAAAAAACCTGTATCATCGATATTGGTCGCGAAAGCCTACTTGTTATAAACTGTTCCTTCCCATCCCATTTTTTATGTAAGAGTAGATTTGTTGTGTGGCAACTTGCATATAATTGCAGTCAAACTGTTGCTTGTTCCATAAACACATCTATTGTACTGGTCATGATGTTATATGTTTAAGTTTATATTGCATAAATGTTTATGGTGTATGCATTGATCATTGTTAATTTATTGCGAATAATGTTTCATAGTTGTCTTTTAACGTTCAATATAAATATCAGATTCATGGCATTAGATATGTTGATGGTTTACATGCCTCCTCTGTTTTGTTACTCAGGTCTCTGATGAAAAAGAGACTTTTGGTCTCAAACAGGATCTCAATTGATTTTAAATAAAGGATGAATTACATATTTACGTAATTAAGTTTCAAGTTTCATTTGTTTTACCAGGTGAGAACTCAAGTCTCATGTGCAAGTGACCTAGGGCATTAGTCCGCCAGTAGGGGGCGATGTTGGTATGCGTAATCCCAAATTGAATAATTTCTGAAATTATTTTCGACTTTTTATCAATTTGGACCCTGACACTGCCACACAGCGGTCTTACTCTTGCCAATGACGTCGGGGGATCTTTAACGTCGGCTGTCAAACGAGCGGCGCGTAGTATTGCCATGGTTATTTCGCCCGCGGTGGCAATCGGGGTGGCCTCTGGATTAGAACGGTGAATATCTCCATTAAGTGGTGAACGCGCTCACGCTAAGGCATGTCGCCGTCCCCCTGGCCATCCTTTCATTGGCAATCACTCGCAGTCGAAGATAATTGTCTTCAATGTTTTTGTGGGTCCGAAGACAGCTGATGAGACCGATCCCAGATTGGCGGACTCTGTCGCAGCTTAGTGTTTCCTAGCAGGATAGGTAGCCCTGGGTTGTTGATTCAGTCTGCGACCACACGACTGTTTCTGCCACACCCATGGTGGAGAGATGTTAACGACTTCACCTGGTATACAGAACATCGTAGGTTCGATCCCGACCCTGACATCTGCATTTTTCTCCGGATCCTCTGGTTTTCCCTCTACATTTTTAAACATCGTTTGGAGTATTTGGGTGCTATACATTTCCACGTGATAAGCTACTTCGTTGAGCTATCATTTGTGGCCAGGTCGCTTCTGAGAAAGATCTGTATAGCTCAGGGGGCTTTATCTGGTAAAATACAAATACATTTCGATTTAAAGCTTTCGTGACTGCAGGGATTCATCTTCTTACAATGTATAGTGCTAAATTCCTCTGTTGATATGCAAATTTCTTTGTCAAGGCGCCCTTCCTCTAACCCAGCTTAAATACACGCTGCCAAACTTGGTAATGTTCATTCAGACGCTGTCTTTCCGACAGACCTGTTCTTCACCTGAGGACGGTTGCCTGCGTTGTGGCCGAAACGTCGTGAGAATTGTATTTTATTATGTTTTATTTTTTATTATTTTATTATTTCCCTTCTACGTGACTTTACCGAAAGAACCAAGAAGAAAAATACAAATAGTTTAGTTTTATATTTTTCGTTTCTCCTGTCGTCATCGTAGGCTTTTGAAGTGCTGAGATCGTTGCAGCAGAATGCTTCCTCCACCTGGAACGATCTTGGGCAATAGTCTCCCAAGAGTTGCACTTGTTCATGTTGGCCTTGGAGACCTCCTTAAAGCATTTTTTCTCCCCCCTTGAGCATTCTCCTTGACTGAGCTGAGAGAATAAAACTTGCTTTGCGAGTCTCAAGTCAGACATCCGGATGACGTGACCGGCGCAGCAAGATTGATGTCGGAAGATTATCATCTCGATGTGGTGTTTGCTTGCGAGCGAAAGGATACTAATGACTGAATTCGAAAAATCATCTGCAGCACATAAAACAATGCACTGAAGTCTGCTCCATTGTTAAGTGCACTCACTTAACGTGAACATAAACTTTCAATTCAGCAAACTTCCATGTCTAAATTTAATCATGTAATGCAATACATTAAAAAACGGGAAAATGTCAAAACTGGGTGGTTTTTAACTTTTGCCGACAAAACTGGATCCCAAATGTCAAAACTGGGTGCACCCTGGGTGGCCAAAAACTTGAGTTTTGGACACTCAGGGTGCACCCAGTTTTGACATTTGTCACATACACTTGATAATTGTATACTAGCACAGTGTGCCAGCACCCCATTCATCCAAACACTTGGTATTTGTATACTGGCACACTGTGCCAGCACCCCATTCATCTAAACACTTGGTATTAGTATGCTGGCACAGTGTGCCAGCACCATATAACTACACACACTTGATATTTGTACGCTGGCACAGTGTGCCAGCACCCCAACGACCAACATTTCAAGCTACGGCTCGCACTCGGAAGTGAGCTCGGGGCGGGCTTGCGACCAGGCGGGCGCACTGCCACCTTGCGTGATGACCTAGACTAGTGACTCGCGTCAATACCAAACTTTTGGATTGTTGGTTGATGCTACGCGCTAATGTACATGCAAGCTGGCACACTGCACCAGTATACAAATGGCAAGTTCGTGTATGTTCGCGAGCTGAAAGTGTTACTGTAGTTGCAAGCTGGCACACTGTGCCAGTATACAAATGGCAAGTAAGTGTTACTGTAGTAGCGAGCTGGCACACTGTGCCAGTATGCAAACGGCAAGTAAGCGAGCTGGCACACTGTGCCAGTATACAAACGGCAAGTAAGCGAGCTGGCACACTGTGCCAGTATACAAACGGCAAGTAAGCGAGCTGGCACACTGTGCCAGTATACAAACGGCAAGTAAGCGAGCTGGCACACTGTGCCAGTATACAAACGGCAAGTAAGCGAGCTGGCACACTGTGCCAGTATACAAACGGCAAGTAAGCGAGCTGGCACACTGTGCCAGTATACAAACGGCAAGTAAGCGAGCTGGCACACTGTGCCAGTATACAAACGGCAAGTAAGCGAGCTGGCACACTGTGCCAGTATACAAACGGCAAGTAAGCGAGCTGGCACACTGTGCCAGTATGCAAACGGCAAGTAAGCGAGCTGGCACACTGTGCCAGTATACAAACGGCAAGTAAGCGAGCTGGCACACTGTGCCAGTATACAAACGGCAAGTAAGCGAGCTGGCACACTGTGCCAGTATGCAAACGGCAAGTAAGCGAGCTGGCACACTGTGCCAGTATGCAAACGGAAAGTTTGTGGTGCAAGGTGTGGAACATGAGCCACGAGAAACATCATTTGGAACGCTCTAAATCTGTGGCGACATATGGATGAATAACGCAAGGACCTAAACGTGTACAAAATGATACATTAAATGGTACACCTTCTTCACCCAGTTTTGACATTTGTCCACATTGAACATCACCCAGTTTTGTCATATCAAAAAGCACCACCCTGTTTTGCCTGTCGTTTTCCAAGACCACCCAGTTTTGACATTTGGGATCCAGTTTTGTCGGCAAAAGTTAAAAACCACCCAGTTTTGACATTTTCCCATTAAAAAACGATTGTGACGCGACATGAGGTTTGCACGAGCAGGGTGGGAGGGAATTGAGGGAGGCAACGCCACCCGAGGCCTTTCCGGCACGGCGAGAGCTGGTCTGGAGCAGCCTCCGCCACGGGCAGACCCTCGTGCGCCATCGTCGATTGGCTATCTGCCATGCCGCCTGGCCGGGCCGCAGGCCGACTTCCACGTCCGAGTCCCAGAGCGAAGCATGGGCCTGGGGTTGGAGGAGCAGCCCCGAGCCGTTCTCACCCCCTCCGAGTGCACCGGCGTACGCCACAAACTCACGGGCCCACACCGCAGCTAGGAAACCAAATCTCACCTCGCAACCTCACACTGGAGATAATAGTTCACCCCGCTTCGTTGAGTAGAAAGTACCCATGCCACCGTCGCTTTAGGTGGGTGTATCCGTGCGTGTATGTACATATATGTAACCTTACCCACGGGTGGGTATCGATATATGTGTATCTCTCCACAGGGGTGATGTGAACATAACCTAAGGTTGGTTCTTCGCGTCCACGGTGAATATACACTTTTCCCACCTTTTGGCGAGCTCTGGCGGTACGGGGTGCGGTTATATTAGGCCGTGCCTAGTATAGCCTGATAAGAGGGGGGAACCGTTTTGTGCACGATACCAATTACTCGGCGGTGGCCCTACTGCGTGCACAGTGCACAATGCCTAAAGTTGGGTCCTCATCCCACACACACCCCCATACCCCTTCCACCCGAGGTTAAGCGGCCTTCTCACGGCTCTGGGAAACCGCTCCTCGGGGTGAAGACCCTGTGCATGCCTCGCTGGCGGCAAGGCAGGATTTCTAAACTGAGGGCCTCCCGTTAAAACTGAGCCCTCATAGAGTTAGACATCTGCCTAACAATAACAGACAATTGCACACCCACAATGCACTACCAACAATATGAAGACCACGACGACAGACTGTGTAACATTTAATCTCTCATGTCGGGTTTGGCTGGGCATAGACGAACTTTCTGGGGTGACTCGACCCGATGTGCGCGGCGCGGTGGCACTTAGACGCAGAAGGTACGAGTTCCCGCGAACCTCTATGCCTTCCCATTCGTCTACAAACGACCACTCTCTCCAGCACTTCCTCCTCTCGAGTCTAGACTGTGCCGCTTATGCTCTGTGCCTCCCCTTTCTGGTTCACAACCACTCTGGGCCTGAGCTCCCTGATTTACTACCGATAGGGGAGCAGTTGTACGGGATTCACCTGGGCGAATCCATCAATATTCTTGGGTCATTCGGTAAAGTCACTTAGATAGTTTAACGAAAATAACAAAAAAACTACAATGTTTTGATCGCAACACAAGCATTCGTCATCAGGAAGAAAAAACAGTGGGACAGCTGCTGAGGTAGACTGTTTTAAAGGTTTAAAATGGGTGTAGACCAAGGGTCTACGAACGCTTGTGTTTGAATGGAAACGTAGTTTTTTGTTATTTTTTGTTTCTTTCTTTGAACTATCTATGCGACTTTACCGAAAGACCCAAGAATATGAATTTCTGCAGTCACGAAAGCTTTAAGTTAAGATATAACCGCCTCTATGGAGAGGGTTTCCACACAACTATTAGATCTTTTAACAAACTTCGAGACAAGAAGGGTCATATGATCGATTTGCTCACATTTCTGAAGAAATGCTGCGACACTCAGGTAATACCGATCGCTTTAACACTGACATCTGCTGCTGTTACTTCTCCCAATGCTAAACGGATCTTGTTCAGGGCTGGCTTAGTCCTGATTTCAGATATAATAAGAGTGCTCCGATTGAACTAGACTAGACAATTTAAACAAGACTCTGCTGAAATCACACTTCACATTGACGAAAACATGTCTACATCTGATTGGGAGCATGTAGATAAAATTACAACCTCTTCAGCCTGCCTCAATGAGATAAATGCAAAGATAACCTGATTTCCAAGTTCAACCTCCTTTCCAAGAAGAAGCCAGATACACACGTCAAAAAGTTAGACGTTGACAAGATTGTTATCAATCATAGTAACAGTCCATTTTCCGACAGCCTAAAATAGGTTCTAGCCAAAGGGTTGAATTTCGCAGTCACCCCTAAACACATCCCTGTTAATGAAATAATTGCCCAGGTCGACGTAGCTCTTAAGGGTCTGGGACCCATAACTGCAGATGTGGCAAGATTAGAAATCGCTGCAATCCTCAAAAACGCTAAGACACCTATTAGCAACATCAGTAAGGATGAGTGCTTTGAGCTTTCTCAATAAAAAAAGAGAGATGACATCATCATCCTCTCAGCCGACAAGGGCAATGCCACAGTCACCATGGACAAAACCACATACAACACAATTCAGGACCTACTTAATGATGGTAGCTATACCAAAATTTAAAAATATCCCACCAACTGCCTCGTTACGAAAACCAACAATATCATCACTGATTCGACATCTTTAATCGAACCAACCAAGCGGTTTTCCTTGAAACCCTCTGCTGCTAGACCACCCAGATTGTATGAATTACCAAAAATTCATAAAGAATGGACACCCCTTCATCCTATCGTCTCTACCATTAACTCACCCACCTACAAACTGGCCCGATTTATGTCTGAGACCTTACAAAACATTCACTGGTAAGACCACCTCATCTGTACTTAACTCAGCTCACTTGGTATCGTTAATAAAGGACATATCACTATCTCCGGGTGATTTGCTCGTTAGTTTCGTGCCTGACACCATTTCAAACATTGAAGATTTGGTACAACAAGGACTGAATGCTGATGTACCGGCCCTGGTGAGATACTGCCTAACCAACACTTACTTCACCTGAAATGGAACATTCTACAAACAAGTTGAAGGTACCCCAATGGGTTTTCCCTTATTTCCAGTTGTAACCAATGTTTTGATGGAAAAAGTTGAGACATGCCATCCAGGCATCCACTCTACGTCCGTCCTTGTGGAAGAGGTACGTAGATGACACGTTCGTCATCTGGCCACATGGCCGACCAGCTCTGAACCAAGTCTTCAACCACATCAATTCCATACACACAGCTAGGCTTCGGCAAGGTAATGTAAAAGTTAAAAGGTAAAAACTACGAGCCTACCTTTACCCTACCCTTGACCTTACCACAATACAATCACTCTACCCTACCTTTTACCCTTTAGCAGGTAAGGTACAAGGTAAAAGGTAAAAAGCAACGAGCTTACCTTTACCCTACCTTTTACCCTTACCCCATACAAATTACCCGATTACAGGGTAATTACTAGGGAACTACGACACATGAACAAAGTTTATAACGGTAAATGCTAGGTAGAGCGCTTTAATCATATAGAATACTCTCGATGATTCCAATTCTACACGTTTTCTATTAACTCACTGTCTGTCGTTGTTGTTGTTGTATCCTCAAATCTTGAAACTCAATTTTTACCCACTTCCTAACGTGGTATCGACTGCAAACTCGGTATACTTAGGTCATACTGATGACAATACTATATTCTATCATAAAAAAATCTATATATTTTTAAACATTATTTTGTATATGTTATGTTTCGGCTTGGGTCTAATTGTCCATGGTCAACTGACGTTGGCTGTAAATCACCACGGTCCCTGACATTATGGCAAGCCTCGGGGCCACTTCCTGGAGTCGTAGAGTTCTGCCATTACTAGTACATTTAATAAAAGCGTGTTTTTAATAAAGTTTGTTTTAATATTACTTATTAAATGGAGGCCACGGACTGCACGACGGAGCTTTTAGTGGTAAACAATGCACCATATTTACCGGGTAATACTTCGCCCTACCTTTACCCTACCGGGTAATTCTTCCAAGCTACCTTTACCCTACCCTTTACCTTACCCCTTGGCATGTCGACACCTTTTACCCGGTAAAAAGGGTAAATCACCTTACCTTGCGGAGGCCTACACACAGCCATCAAATTCACCATGGAGGTGGAAAAGGATGGCAAGCTACCATTGTTGGATGTTTTAATCAAAAGAAGACCATATTGGCTCAATGGGACACTTTGTCTACAGGAAAGCCACCCATACAGATGCATTTCTAAAACCAGACTTCCACCACCATCCTGCCCAGAAGAATTCCCTCATCACCTAGCCAGTGAACTGAAACACGTACACCAAGCTCTCAAGATGGATGGATATTCAGACTACACAATCCGTAAAGCTTTCACACCAACCGTTGGGAAAGAACCATCTGAGGTCCCAATCATTGCCATACATAGCAGGTCACCAAAAAGATCTCCAAAATCATAAGCAAACACAAGATCCAGGTTCGATTTTACACAGTACATGAAATTCGTGATCTGATCCCGTCTGTGAAGGATGTGATCCCTGACATGCAATACCCCGACGTCTACAAACAAAGCTGTGTTTGTGGCAGTAGTTACATTGGGGAAACTAAGCGATATGTCTCGGACCGTGTTTGTGAACATAAGGCAGATCTGAAACATGGTAGGACCAATACCTCGGACGTGTCTGATCATTGTTTTAATGCGGTGGGCTCACAGGAAATTGATTTATCTAAGATGAAGGTACTTTGCAAACCCACTCGCTATCAACAAAGATTCTTTCATGAAACCATCCACAAATACAGACACAGACACAACTTCAATCGAGAAGTTGGGTATAAACTGAGCAATCATTGGAAGGACGTTATCATCCAGTTGAAATCATAACTGGCTGTGATGTTTGCATCCTACCACTTTCCGATGTTAGTTATTTTCGGCTCTGATTTTACATTAACAGGTAAAATTTTCCACACTAAAACAGCCACTTCGCTTGCTGAGCTCGACGTTGCTTCTCTGCGATCTTCCATTAACATGCTAATCTCTCACATTAACATCACTAGCCCAATCTTTTTTTTTTCACTAGCCCAGCCCACTTCGTTTATGACCCTTGGGCTACACCCAATTTAAACCTTTTAAACAGTCTATCTCAGCAGCTGTCCCACTCTTTTTTCTTCCTGATGACGAACGCTTGTGTTGCGATCGAAACATCGTAGTTTTTTGTTATTTTCTTTTAACTATCTACGTGACTTTACCGAAAGACCCAAGAATATGAATTCCTGCAGTCACGAAAGCTTTAAGTCAAGATCGAATCAATCAACTTTTGAATTTACTTCTACTGGAGACCACCACGTATTCCAAGAACATTAAACTTTGTACATTAGGAAAACAGTCAGACCAACAAACTTGGAGTGGCTTGGCCTAAAAACTCTTGTACGAGTTGTTGTGGGTGGCAGTCCGAGCATTAACTGAGAGAAAGAGTGACCCATAAACAACACGTCTACCACATTTTGCTTGTCTCTCCGTCGCCAACACAGGGACCCTTAGTCCGAAGTTACCTTTGTTCCCTGTGGCTGCGATAGCAACTATGGGTGTGCGCTTATGTTGATATGCTACCGCTTCACCCCCCTAGGGCGCCTGCCCCACCCACATCGCCAAATAACGTGCAGGGCTCAGCATATGGCTCCACACTAAAAGGTATAATCTTTACATCGCTGTCATATTTGTCATTCTAACCACGGTAATATGAAATATATAGCACTTTTGTAGGCACGGTGGCAAAGTGGTTATCGCAGTGCGGTGTGAACGCACCATGAGTGACGTGTGATATATCCAAACACGTACTGGGCCACCCCCCATCTGCACACCACTCCCCAAATGGTTGAATGAAAAATCAAATGTTAATGTCACACGTTCCCAAATTGCGGGTGTGGTTTTTTTGTTATTACATTGTTTTATGATTGATGGGCAACAATTTGACAATCATAGCAACTGCACAACACTGAAATATAAAATATATTAAGCCACAAGCAATGGATCACGGTATTGTGTAGGAGCGCGATTCCACAATGAGCGTCACCCAGTTGCACTGGAACACATTGTGAACATCATAGGATCAAATAATGGACATCTTTTGCAACTCTCGCAGCTAGAGAACATTCTACATGAACCAGTGGTGTGTACAACTTGTACGTGTTTTTGATTGCAGTGCGATGTTTGTGCACGCTGTACTGGATGTCTTGACGCAGTTCTTTGTAAATGTATTTA